AATGGCGTCAAGATGTGCACACCTGAATGGCGTCAAGACGTGCACACCTGAATGGTGTCAATACGCACACACCTGAACTGCGTCAAGACGCACACACCTGAACGGTGTCAAGACTCACACACCTGAATGGAGTCAAGACTCACACACCTGAAAGGCGTCAAGATGTGCATACCTGAAAGGCGTAAAGATGTGCACACCTGAACGGCGTCAAAATGTACACACCTGAACGGCATCAAGATGTGTAGACCTGAACGGCATCAAGACTTGCACACCTGAAAGGCGTCAAGATGTGCAAACCTGAACAGCATCAAGACTTGCACACCTGAACGGTGTCAAGACGCACACACCTGAAGGACATAAAGAAGTATACACCTGAATGGCATCAAGACGTGCATACCTGTACGGTGTCAAGACGCGCACTCCTGAACGGTGTCAAGACGCGCACACCTGAATGGCGTCAAGACGTGCAAACCTGAACGGCGTCAAGAAGTGCACACCTGAATGGCGTCAAGACATGCAAACCTGAACGGCGTCAAGACGTGCAAACCTGAACGGCGTCAAGACGTGCACACCTGAACGGCGTCAAGACGTGCACACCTGAACGGCGTCAAGACGTGCACACCTGAACAGCCTCAAGACATGCACACCTGAATGGCATCAAGACGTGCACACCTGAATGGAGTAAGACGTGCACACCTGAATGGAGTAAGACGTGCACACCTGAACTGCGTCAAGATGCCCACACCTGAACGGTGTCAAGACGTGCACACCTGAATAGCGTCAAGACGTGCACACCTGAATGGCATCAAGACGTGCACACCTGAATGGTGTCAAGACGTGCACACCTGAATGGCGTCAAGACGCACACACCTGAATGGCATCAAGACGTGCACACCTGAATGGCATCAAGACGTGCACACCTGAACGGTTTCAAGATGCGCAAACCTGAACGGTGTCAAGACGTGCACACCTGAACGGTGTCAAGACGTGCACACCTGAATGGCATCAAGACGTGCACACCTGAATGGAGTAAGACGTGCACACCTGAACTGCGTCAAGATGCCCACACCTGAACGGTGTCAAGACGTGCACACCTGAATAGCGTCAAGACGTGCACACCTGAATGGCATCAAGACGTGCACACCTGAATGGCGTCAAGACGTGCACACCTGAATGGAGTCAAGACGCACACATCTGAACAGCATCAAGACTTGCACACCTGAACGGTGTCAAGACGCACACACCTGAAGGACATAAAGAAGTATACACCTGAATGGCATCAAGACGTGCATACCTGTACGGTGTCAAGACGCGCACTCCTGAACGGTGTCAAGACGCGCACACCTGAATGGCGTCAAGACGTGCACACCTGAACTGCGTCAAGACGTGCACACCTGAACTGCGTCAAGACGCGCACACCTGAACGGTGTTAAGACGCGCACACCTGAATGGTGTCAAGATGCACACCTGAACTGCATCAAGACAACACACCTGAATGGGGTAAAGACGTGCACACCTGAATGGGGTCAAGACGTGCACACCTGAACTGCGTCAAGACGTGCACACCTGAACTGTGTCAAGACGTACAGACCTGAACGGTGTCAAGACGCACACACCTGAACGTTGTCAAGACTCACACATCTGAACAGTGTCATGACTCACACACCTGAACGGTGTAAAGACGCACACACCTGAACAGTGTAAAGACGCGCACACCTGAATATTGTCAAGACGAGCACACCTGAATGTAATCAAGACGCACACACCTGAACTGCGTCAAGACGTGCAGACCTGAACGGTGTCAAGATGCACACACCTGAACGGTGTCAAGACTCACACACCTGAACGGTGTCAAGACGCACACACCTGAACAGTGTAAAGACGCACACACACCTGAATATTGTCAAGACGTGCACACCTGAATGGCATCAAGACGTGCACACCTGAATGGCGACAAGATTTGCACATCTGAACGGCGTCAAGATGTACACACCTGAATGGTGTCAAGATTTGCACACCTGAACGGCATCAAGATGTGCAGACCTGAATGGTGTAAAGACGTGCAAACCTGAACGGCATCAAGACTTGCACACCTGGAAGGCGTCAAGATGTGCAAACCTGAACAGCATCAAGACTTGCACACCTAAACGGTGTCAAAACGCACACATTTGAAGGACATCAAGACGCACACACCTGAATGGCATCAAGACGTGCATACCTGTATGGTGTCAAGACGCGCACTCCTAAACGGTGTCAAGACGCGCACACCTGAATGGCGTCAAGACGTGCAAACCTGAACGGCGTCAAGAAGTACACACCTGAATGGCGTCAAGATGTGCAAACCTGAACAGCCTCAAGACATGCACACCTGAATGGCGTAAAGATGGTGCACACCTGAAAGGCGTAAAGATGTGCACACCTGAGTGGCATCAAGACGTGCACACCTGAATGGTGTCAAGACGCACACACCTGAACTGCGTCAAGACGCACACACCTGAACTGCGTCAAGACGCACACACCTGAACGTTGTCAAGACTCACACACCTGAATGGAGTCAAGACTCACACACCTGAAAGGCATCAAGATGTGCATACCTGAAAGGCGTAAAGATGTGCACACCTGAATGGCGTCAAGATGTGCACACCTGAATGGCGTCAAGACGTGCACACCTGAATGGTGTCAATACGCACACACCTGAACTGCGTCAAGACGCACACACCTGAACGGTGTCAAGACTCACACACCTGAATGGAGTCAAGACTCACACACCTGAAAGGCGTCAAGATGTGCATACCTGAAAGGCGTAAAGATGTGCACACCTGAAAGGCGTCAAGATGTGCATACCTGAAAGGCGTAAAGATGTGCAACACCTGAATGGCGTCAAGATGTGCATACCTGAAAGGCGTAAAGATGTGCACACCTGAATGGTGCTAAGATGTGCACACCTGAATGGCAACAAGACATGGATACCTTAGTTCTATTAACAATATTAATGATGGAGTACATCACTTACTAAAGTACAAGCATGAAGATTTTCAATATCTAACTCCATGCGCTACAGCTCCCTATGATGGGAAATTGTATTCAATCTACTAGAAATGGATAGAGGCAATTTGGGGCATGAAGCTGCATCTTGGTATGTGGTATTTACCTTGTAATTTCTTTAGTAAATCATAAACTGGAACGTGAAGAACTTCTATAAATTCACCATCCTCTATGAGATAACAAGATAAGTTAGATAACCTTTGACAATGATGTACATACATGCTCACCTCAAAATATTTAGGTTGTTAAGATACAATTCAGCATTATGCTTGGAAATTATCTCCCATCAAATATGCTAATTCTCCAAAGACTGCATTATGCTTGGAAATTATCTCCCATCAAATATGCTTAAGACACAATGTCATTTTGTCAATACATAAGCAGCATTTTGCCAGAGACGTTTAGATATTCACATCCTTTTGTCATAGAGGGCGTAGTAAGTGTCATTTTGTCAGAAAATGTACTACAAACACAGATTATTTGGATTTGTATCTCACCTGTTCTTTGAGTTGGTTTCTTGTTTATTGGATCATCACCGTCAATCTAAATTTAAAAAAATAAAACATGGCATGTACATATAGCAAGACATTTTCAGAGATCTGACAATTTTAGACATTTTTGAACTTGGACTACCTCTTTACCACAACCTTCAAAATGTGTGTTGAAATATTCTGCCAACCACTAACTGTTACAGCATCATTATTAAAATAAAACAAACAAAACCATGAAGAAAGAAAAGCAAATTTTTGTTTTCCATGGGTAGAAGAAAAATAGAGCATTTGTGTGATTCCTGGCAATGTTTGGATAACAGTGTCATCATTACTTTACTGTTAGGTAGATAAACACACAGAATTGTCATCAAGAAATACACTTACATGAATAGTAATCTGAGCTGCAATGCCGTTTGACACGCCAGGATCCAAAGCAGAAGCTGTAAAAAAAGTCCATATCAGGTATACATAAAAACAAAACAAAACAAAGCCAAACAGAGCCATTTTAAAATCATGAAATAAATTGACTAAAACTGCATACAATCTAATACTCAGACAATGTACAGTCATTACAAGGGATGTACTGGAGTGATACAATTAAAACAGAGAAGAAACACAACTCATGTACAAAAGGCATGGCATGTTTCACTGGGAAATAGTGATGTAGCAATAACATTACAGACCCACGCTATTGTTTTTTTATTTATTTACGATATTCATTTGATGGATCAATGCTTTCAACCTTGTTTTACTTTTGACTAATGTTTGCCATTTAATTTCAGTCAAAATCACCAGAGGGAAAACATTATTTGCTTTTAGCATAGTACGTTCTTGAAGCCATATAAATTGTGCAATCAGTGCAAGTAGATAGTACCATGGAACGCCATGATTTTACAAACATCTCCTGGGTTACCAAGTTTTCGTGACCGCACACTGACCCTTTGTATGTACACTGGGTCGCAATGTACCGGTACAGTCTATCTAGCTCTTAGTGATTTAGGTTTTGTCATCAAATTCTCATTATAATCACTAAGTACACGGTACTACAAAGTACGGAAAGTGGCAAAGTGATTAAGTCAGCATTTCTATTTGGGCCAGGAAGTCCCAGGACTGACATTCTGAGCAAATACTGTGAATCTGTCTATATTATAAGTCCCGGTCAGTAGATGTTCAATTTAGGAAAATCACACTACGTTGGCACTCGTATTTACTGACTGCTTTAAGAATGTTTTGAATACAGAGTTCAGCATGATGCTAGTTACATTACAACAGCCATTTCCACATAGCATCAACTGGTCAACTGCTTTTGTTTGTTGTGAAGCTAAATATAAACACATGATATGTCTTTATGATGTTTCCCCTTTAAAAAACGATTCTCAGCACTTCACTCGAAACGCATGCATAGTATGCACATTTATTTGAGATATATATTCTCTGAATATCACAGACAATATATATATATATGAATTTTATTCAGTACAATGGCCTCAGGCCTATGGTACAATAAATACATACAGAGGGATTCCTTTAAATAATTGTTGAATCTACTAGTCACAACTGGTTATTAAGTAGATTGACTCACAGACAATATCTATCTATTTAATTCAAGTTTACATAATTTCAGACATTTGCTTATCCCTACAGCTTGTTTTCTAAGTGAACATTGCAACATATCCAGGTAGAATCTTCCGTTCCCTTGGTCAAACACTTTCAGGTGTTCATACATGTATATTGCGATGTTTAGGAATAACAAAATGAACGGATACAAACAAACGAAACTGTGCAATAATATATTTGAACGTTTTTTTCAAGGAAAATACTGGCTAAAATTTAGGTGAGAACAATGAACAGAAACAATGAATCACATAAAAAATTAAATAATAATAATATTCCACATTCATTACGGTATTGCCAACTTTAAAGATAGCTCAACTAAATGTTCAGTATCTATTGTGCATGCTATCTCATTTTACCTAATCCAGAATGTCGTACTTTTCCAGTGTATCCAGTTTCTTCTTTTAATTCCCTCTTAGCAGTGTCTTCTATACTTTCATTTGGATCCAATAAACCTATTAAAATAAAAATAAATCACATTAGCTGTTGTCCTACCGAACCCCACAGTAAAAAGTTAGAAAAATTAATCAAAGTGGAGTATGCGTTAACAGACATTAATACAAGCTCAAGAAAGAGTATGGTAATCACATAATTAATAGTGCATCTCTAATAATAGCGCAAGTAAACCAAACATTCTATTTTATTGTACCAGGGGTATGCTGAATTAATCAAATATTTATTTTGACTATAGACGATATTCAGGTAACTGGTTACACCGTTACAACTACAGTACATCATACCGGTAATATAACTGCTATAGCAAAGATAATATTAGTCTGATTAACAACATGATATATTTTGAGTATCGACAATTCAATGAGAATCAATTGCCGTTCATATGAAGCAGAATTTATTCAGAAATTGGTCAGTAACAAAATTCACAAAGAAGTATTATAAAAGTCTTTAAATTTCACATTTAGATTCATTGACATTGTACTGTTCATTAACAATTCTATCATGAGTAATTACATGAATTATTCCATTAGCCTGCATGCCATGGTTTGAACATCAGTAATTGTCCACACTTTTTTATAGCAATATTCCAATAAACCTGTTTGGGGTTCTCGAAGTTCACTGGGTGCTAAGCAACCATGTACACGAGAGGGGGGGGGGGGGTGAATCAACGTATATTCATTGCTGGTCAACAGAAATATGCAGTTTTAGGCAGTTATTTTAGTATATTAGCTTCAGTTTTAGATCACATATATACTGTATCCAAATTTCACAATCTTATAAAATATAGAAAATGTGTTTAACATTCATACACTCAAAAATAAATATGAACAAAATACCATTTATATACCAATGGTATCCATACGTGCCTTTGTAAAATATTTTCGGGGACAACATATAAATTTGACATATAAAACAGGCGAACGGACAACTAGTTGTAAAATCAATCCTCCATTTCTGTCGCTAGTGCATTCTGTTACATGGCAACCATGAAACACGCCTGGAAACTCCAAACTTGTTTATTGCTATTGCTGAATGTTGTATACTCATCTAATCTTGCTCACTCAGTAGGGGTAAATGCATGTAATATATGTTGACTTCTCAAAGCTATTACATCAAGGCATTTTACAAGGAGACTTGGTTGACATTTCAAAGGTTTGTCAGCAGGGGTTATAAATTGGTTAAAAACATGATAAATCACCTTGACATATGATCTTGGTGTACTCCATGTTTTTTGCCGAGAGTTCTTGTATATACTTAGATATGAATGATACATAGCGAGTGCCACATGTGGGCAGGATGCAATCAGTCTTCTCAAAACACCTGACATCACCTCTTGGCTGTACTTATATATCACATGGTTCATGTATTGTTTCACTGATTTTATTATTCATTGTAAAATATTGTGTAGATTGTTTGGTTTTAGTTATACAGTCAAACCTGTCTATAAAGGACAATCAGTGGACTGAGCCAAACTGTCCTTTATAGACAGGTGGTCTTTATATGGAGGTGGCCTAATTTATTCATTTAATCATGAATATTAATTAGGACCGGAATTTTAAGGGAGATCATAAGCAATACATAAAAACAAACCTACCATGAATATGTCTTTTTTAATAAAAGTCACTCATTTTCATCTGGATAATTAAGGTTTACTTTTTTACTACAAATTATATCATGTAAATTCACTGAAGCCAAGTGATTCTGCCCATGGATTCAATGGTGTATTTATTGCATAAGAACGATTGTCAACGATCGGCCGCATTGGCGTTTCAGCTCGGTAATCAGTCCCATCGTTAGTATTGTCGATTGTACACTGTGACAAAATGCACAGGCAAAGATGCCGTGATTGAAAAAACAAACAAGCATTAAAAATGAAGAAGCATTGGTAATAAACAAAATTGACCAAACTCATAACAATTGCTCCAACCATGGAGCTAAAAAGCTCCATGCTCCAACTCTCGGTGTTGAATCAGAAAGTCAAACGAACCGGAAATGAAACACGGTGATCGTACACGCAATTTTACAGTTATTTGTTGCAAGCATCGACGTGTCAAAACTGCCCAAACGAATTTTCTCGATTGCGAAATATTGATATGACAGTTTATAAAAAAAGAGGATCAAAATAGAAAACATCTTTCATTGAGAATAACCCCGAGATGACCCCCTAAGTAACAATACGTTTTGCCCATGCGCTAGCTTCATTAGCATAATTTATAATGATCAACAACAAACAACATGGCGCCAAAATAGGTCGGATTTTGCAATCCCGCGATGAAAACGAAATAAACGAATGTTTTATTATTTTGTTTGGATATTTCATGTCAACAAGGTAAATAAAACATCTCTCATTTAATAAAACTGGTTCATTTTTTTTGTTTTCGAGACGGGGGGGAATTTGCTCTTCATGTGCGAGACGGTCCACAGAAGTGCCACTGGCCGGCTGGGGATCGATAGTATACCGGGGGTAGTACCGATCGGAAACAAGCTAGTTTTTCATTTCAAACTTTGAATGAAACTGTTTTAATTTGTTGTTAAAATCTTTCCATTCTCTAGACGTTACATTCAGATGATATTCAACTTTTTTTTTTTTACTTTTTCGCAACTTCACAAACCAAGTTGAGATGGTACCCTTGTCTATTAGCCCTAAAGATTGCGTACTCGGTAATCTGAACGTAACATATGGCCACTTTCCTGTTAGCGATTCGCAAGTAGCTATTGTCTTTTTGCTGAGACAGTCTGATGGAAATGTTGGTGGTCGTTAACAAAGGTTAATATGTGAATAGGTCTACAATAGGGTGGTCGCTGGTCGCGTTGGACAGGTGGTCGCTATATCCAGTGTCTTTAACGCGTAAATTGCGAAGGGACTGTACTAAGGTGGTCGCTATGAGCAGGTGGCCGCTCTGCACAGGTGGTCGTTAACACAGGTTTGACTGTAGTATGTTCTTGAACCTTTTTTTTGACTTTCAATTTATGATATATGGTTTTTTCTATACACTACTGTATCTTGCCCCCCCCCCCCCCTCTCCCCCAAAAACCCAGGCTTCGGGGTTAAAGAATTCTTAAACAAAAATTGAAAACATGAAAAGTACCTATTACTAACCGCACCCCCAATCCAACAAGGCCGTGACTGGCTTCATTGTTTCAACCACCTGGTCCAAAGATGTCAGATTCTTTTGTTCTGGCGACAACCTTTGAATCCGTGTTTCAGGAATTTGTGTTCCTCACTAAGCAAATGTTGCAAAAATAAAAGCTTAGAGGGAACATTGAATCATTGATGCAATCAATGATAATGTTACTATGGTTACTTTACCTGCTGGAAACTCCACAGTGTAACATTTCATTGGTGGTCTGTACTGCTTTACTAATACGATGCAGTCGTAATGTAGAAGACGCTTCAGAATGGCAACAATGCAGACAGCTGTGTAATAGAAAAATGCACCATGCATAAAGAAAACACTGAGTTTTATAAATGAAAGGATTACATGACAGTAAATATCATAATGGTAAATGATACAAGCTTGTACTTTGGAATGTTTTGATTTGCCTCGCACTGAACCAACTGAAAAATTTAATTTGTGTCAAATTTGTTCCGCTAAATTACAAAAAATACACACGACAGACAACTTCACTGTAATTACGACCAATTATTTTTCCTGCATTTAAAAACAAATTATCTGCTGTATTTTGGATTATAATGAAACTATATAAATTTATCGGATGCTGTCGTAAATTGGCCAGGGCAGTTTTTTAAGGTGTTTTTTTAATATTTTGGCATCATTTTTCAGATATTTCTATTTTTCCTGATGCCTAAAATAGAGTCTACTTTAAGTTTTATCATAGTCATTGACGCCTATTCTAGAGTATGATGTTTATTGTAACTAGCGTGAATAGGTAAGCTTTGTTTCAACAATGAGCTGTTATCACTGTAATCAATGTTAAATTATTCCTCAAATGCACAGTTTATTTTTGAAAACAACAAATTTTTTGATTTAAAAAAAAAATCCTGCCATTTTCCCATCAAAATCCAAGCCAAAAGATCATACTACAACATCGGCAGATCCCTTCCGCGTTGCGTTCAATAACATCAATGAGCTATGGTAATTTGAACATGTTGGCATCATCCATCATTTTGATTGGTTAATTAGAGATTTGAAAGAACACTGTCCCAGGTCGAAACATGCAAAACATGGCGGATATCCTACAGCATCAAGCTTTTAAAATATGTGACTGGAATCATGCGCTCACGATGAAACTAAGTTGAATTTTATTTGCATTTCATAACGATTCAACAAATTTATTTTTTGTAGGTTATTATAATAACCACTGAGTAATAATAAACAATTGTGAAACATAGCATGACCGGATTGTGCTACAGTGATCATTTGCTACTAAGCAATGCAGTTGTGTTCTTTTTTATTTGAAACTTCTTTTAGAAAATACTTTCATTACCAATAAAATAAAAAAATAAATAATTGTATTTGGTGTACCAGGTTCGTTAATGTGATTTTTTAAAAAAAGATGACACTGAGTGACATTGTAATGAAATTTCAGGCGACCTACTTTTTAATTCAGCAAGAAAAAAATGTTTCAAAATTTTAGAATAGCATCTGCAGTGGTTTCCTTTCGTCTTGGGTGGCCCAACTGCTGCCGTGGAAAGTCTGCATATATGTAGGTGAATTTTTCAATGTAAATAGAACTCCCCAAAAAATATTTGATGATCATTTTTTGAAATTTTGAACCCCAAATAAAGGCCCACCAGCCGTGAAATCATTCAGGGCGATTTTTTGGATTGGCCAATTTACGACAGAATCTGGTACATGCATGTACATGTGTTAAACAAGTGTAGATGAGAGTTGACCAATTTATGTTGCAGTAGCTTTTTCTTGAATGCTCCCTGTAAAACCAAATTTAAAAAAAAAAGTAACTAAAAACCCTAGATGAAATATTGAAAATTATAATATGTTGTTCTTTCAATTATCACATTTCCCAACACATATGACTCCTGGTTCAGTAATGTATACAGCAATAATGTGTGTCAGTACATACATGTATACTGTGTTCTAAATAACTATTCAACCTTGAAGTAGTGTTCTTCGGTAAACTGAATCGGACATCAATTTTCAATTTCATTTACAATTTATTTTCGACACATGAACATACTTTTCTTCAAAATTTTTTTAATTTTGGTATTGTGGCTGTACCTGATCACGCAGTTAATTATGTGAATAGACAAAAATTACAAGTAAATGCATTGTTTATGGCTAAAACAAAACACAGCAATGATAAGTATCATAGAAAAATAGCTGACAAGTTGCAAGAATTAATCATAGCAGTAATGATTTTGACAACTGTGACTCTTATTTCAGATATGCAGCAGTGTGCTGGTGTACCAAAATGGTTGCCTAATGGATATCCTATTTTGTTGTCCTTGGTGGTGCACGAACATAATTTGGCGAAATAGCTTTGAATAGATATACATGTACCAGTAATTAACCATTGTTTGGCCAAGTGTATATTGCTCAAAGAGACTAAAATCACTTATTGGTATCTTAGTTTATATATCTGAGCACAAAATAACTATTTCAAAGTCTACCTTGCTCATTAGTCCTCATTTGCATATAAGTATTTCCCTACGGCTGTGACATGGTTTTGGAGAAATGCATTTGAGCGAAAAAGCGCATCACACGATTAATTGATTAATTTACTTGTATTTTGTACACTACACTACAAATTGTCTGGTTATGACCCTGTGATCACAGTGTGTAGCTTTAGACATGATTCCACCAAAACGTCAATTTTAATCAATTTGCTCATGGCATACACTCAACTACAGACGAGTGGCGGTAATAATTGTTGAATTTGCTTCAAGGCAATGCTTAAATCATGAACTTGTTAGTAAACAGGAGTAAATGCACAAGATATATTGAAACACATATTCACAGTAAAATGAAATTCAGGGATATTTGTTTGTTTGTTTGTTTAGTAAGTGGTGATCATTAATTAATACGTTAATGATTGCGTATTAGGACAATGATTGTGCATACTGTAAAATACTTTATTTTCGCATGGAATTAATTTTTGCTATATTCGCTGAAGGGATGATTCAGTGAAAATAAAATCGAGCAAATATACCTTTTTTCCTATATTTTAGGTTTAACTCATCAAAAATCAGTGAAAATAAATTCCATACAAAACACTCAAAAAATCTTTTCAGCGAAAATTAATTCCAGCTAAAATAAAGTATTTTACAGTAGATGTGCAGTATAATGTAACTAGAAGACCAGTATTTACAAACCAGGAAATAAATCGACAGACATTTACTTTAAATTCAATCGATCTTTTAATATTCTATTAATTCTCAAACAAAATCATGATTTTCATTAGCATACTAGTAGTTCACACTCTTGTAAACAGAATAGTTTTACAACTACAAGTCTTTACAGTATTCAGAGTGCATGGCTCCTATCTTATGTCTGACGTTTGGTGGCGTAATTTTGGAAAGCCAGAAAAAGTTGACTGGCTGGAATTGGGCGTGGCTACAACTTTTATTTCAAATTTTATTTGTTATTTTTTATTCACAGGTGTTTTTAAGCATACTAATACAGGTTGCAAATATGATGCTTGTTGGCTTTAAAAACAAATCTCAGTACATGGACTTAGTCTTATAAAAGTGAGGATGATTACTCTTGGTAAGATTGTAAAAAACAGTAATTACCATCTGTCTTGTAGTTCTCTCGTCTAGTGGTTCGCTCTACAGTCTCCCATGTCTGTTCCCTTCCCATAGGATCCTGGTAAGTTGTCTTGTGAAGAGATAACCAATTACCAGTACACAGCATCTACACAGACATGTTATACTGAGTTAGGAAAGTGACTATGCAAGTTCATGTAAGTAATTATAGTAAACACACCAATTCCAATTCTCCCATGCTGAATCCATATACTGTAAAATACTACCATATATTTTAGCTGGAATTAATTTTTGCAGAAAAGATTTTTGTGTGTTTTGTATCGAATTTATTTTCACAGATTTTTGGCGAGTTGAATGTAAAATATAGAAAAAAAGGGTATATTCGCTGGATTTTATTTTCACCGAATCTCTCCTTCAGCGAAAATAGCGAAAATTAATTCCAAGCAAAAATAAAGTATATTACTCTAATCTGGTCCAGTGTCGGAGACATGAATGAGCACATAGAGAAGAGTACAGTGAAAACACTGGGCCAGTACAACAATAGTAGTCTTAAGAACATTTCTCTGGTTATGTTGGGAGAAAAATAATTAGTACTGGAATATTATGAGGAAATTAATAATTAAAAAAATTGAAAAAAGGGAGAAAAATAAATTAAACCCTACCAACCCATATTTTGGAAGAAAGTTTATTTTATGTAAATGAGCTCTAAATTAATTACTAATATTTCTATACTACTATTGCTCTGGTCATTCCACAAATACATGTAATTATTTTATTTCATTATTTTTAAGCCTTTGCAATGCCAACAATACAGACTTCCTCAAACTGCTCCTTTTATCAAATTTTGCCTTGAAATGAGTGCCTTCTAAGTCTGAAGTACAAAACATGCCTATGTAGCAAATGACTTGTACTCAGTTGCCTGGAGTTTACCTCCATTTTCGTTTGGCCTCGGCATTTCATCCAAATGTATATTAATGCACTTATAGGAAAACTGCATGATTCATCTGTGTGTATTTATTTGAAGCAATGTGGCCCTGCAGCACTATGGTAAATGCAATTAATCTTTCTGCCACTACTGTTGGAGGCTGTTTTTATTTTCAGGGTTTGATACAGTTTGATGAATACGTTTTTTTTCTTAAGTCATTAAGTTTAAAGCAATTTTGGTTTACTTGGCAAGTGCTGGTAAGATGTCTGTTTCCTGAATCTTATTTTCATGTGTACTTTATACATGTAATTACAGTAAACCTTTCAATTTTTCACTACAAGGAATCTTTCATTAAGACACTGGACCTCAGTGAGATTTTCACTACAAGGAATCTTTCATTAAGACACTGGACCTCAGTGAGATTTCCACTGCAAGGAATCTTTCATTAAGACACTTGACCACAATGAGATTTTCACTACAAATAATTTTTCATTAAGCCACTGGACCTCGGTGAGATTTTCACTACAAGGAATCTTTCATCAAGACACTGGACCTCAGTAAGATTTTCACTACAAGGAATCTTTCATTAAGACACTGGACCTCAGTGAGATTTCCACTGCAAGGAATCTTTCATTAAGACACAGAACCTCAGTGAGATTTTCACTACAAGGAATCTTTCATTACGACACAGGACCTCAGTTAGATTTTCACTGCAAGGAATCTTTCATTAAGACACAGGACCTCAGTGAGATTTTCACTACAAGGAATCTTTCATTAAGACACTGGACCTCAGTGAGATTTTCACTGCAAGGAATCTTTCATTAAGACACAGGACCTCAGTGAGATTTCCACTGCAAGGAATCTTTCATTAAGACACTTGACCACAAATTTATGAGATTTTCACTACAAGGAATCTTTCATTAAGACACTGGACCTCAGTGAGATTTCCACTGCAAGGAATCTTTCATTAAGACACTTGACCACAAATTTATGAGATTTTCACTACAAGGAATCTTTCATTAAGACACAGGACCTCAGTGAGATTTTCACTGCAAGGAATCTTTCATTAAGACACAGGACCTCAGTGAGATTTCCACTGCAAGGAATCTTTCATTAAGACACTTGACCACAAATTTATGAGATTTTCACTACAAGGAATCTTTCATTAAGACACTGGACCTCAGTGAGATTTTCACTACAAGGAATCTTTCATTAAGACACTGGACCTCAGTGAGATTTTCACTGCAAGGAATCTTTCATTAAGATACTGGACCTCGGTGAGATTTTCACTACAAGGAATCTTTCATCAAGACACTGGACCTCAGTGAGATTTTCACTACAAGGAATCTTTCATTACGACACAGGACCTCAGTGAGATTTTCACTACAAGGAATCTTTCATTAAGACACTGGACCTCAGTGAGATTTTCACTGCAAGGAATCTTTCATTAAGACACTTGACCTCAATGAGATTTTTACTACAAGGAATCTTTCATTAAGACACTGGACCTCAGTGAGATTTTCACTACAAATAATCTTTCATTAAGACACTGGACCTCATTGAGATTTTCATTACAAGGAAATTTTCATTAAGACACTGGACCTCAGTGAGATTTCCACTCCAAGGAATCTTTCATTAAGACACTGGACCTCAGTGAGATTTTCACAACAAGGAATTTTTCATTAAGACACTGGACCTCAGTGAGATTTTCACTACAAGGAATCTTTCATTAAGACACTGGACCTCGGTGAGATTTTCATTGCAAGAAATCTTTCATTAAGACACTGGACCTCAGTGAGATTTTCATTGCAAGGAATCTTTCATTAAGACACTAGACATCACATCATTGAGATTTTCACAAGGAATTTTTCATTAAGCCACTGGACCTCAGTGAGATTTTCACTACAAGGAATCTTTCATTACGACACATGACCTTTGATCTCAATGCTTTGACATGAATCGGTCCAGTCCGTCCACCGTCTGAATCACACGGTTTCGTAAATTTAATGTAAACCCCCCCCCCCTTTAAACTGCTGTGTGATTCTACCAAGAGACCACATATTAAGCAAGCTACATGTATCTATTCTTACATGTTCTGTGGTTCATGTCTGTGAAAAACTGTTCAGAGAGCAAATTACATCACTGCATGTCACTGTCAAAGACACAGACGTTACATAGCACTTCAAAATATGTGCCTAATCACAGTTGATCTAGCCACAGTTCTGTGATCTACATATGGGGGAAAACGAAAATGGTGGAATGTTGATTTGCCAAAGAGGGCACCCTTAAGATACATCTTCACTGAATACATGATGATCATGATCTGCCATTGAACATACAAAGTGTATAGGGTCATTCCAGTTTGTATCCACACCCCCCATATGGAAGGTATAATTCCGCAGGGTATATAAAATAATGTACTTTTTTACTGTTCCGGGAGGAGGGGTCACCGTAAATGAATTCCACAGGGTGATGATTATAGTATGGGCTTCCGAAGGGTTGGGTTATTGCAGTTTGTATCCGCAACTTTTTTTCTGTTCCGGGCCTCCACTAGGGGTGACTGTATTACATTCATTTAGTTAAATGTTAAATTTTGGACTGTTAATTCCGTGGGGTACATTTGGGGGAATGATCATCCAGGGGTTATTGGCAACAAAAAAATGTTTTCCGGGGTGCTGAAACACCGTTGTATATTTCCAGGGGGGTGTTGTATATATGTAGGGGGTGTAGATACAAACTTGAATGACCCATAATACGTAGTCGGGACAATCGATGGCCGCGTTACCGAAGATGGTCATTAGATTATCAATGTATAAAGACCAACACAAACAGATCATGTTCATAATATTAATGTTATTCTCACCTCTTGTTTAATAAATTCACACTTTCTTCTTTTTTCTCCTAATTCCTCGTTATTTGGATAATTGTCGGTCATTATGAAATATACTCACTAACAAGTTTTAACCTCAGAGGTTCAACTCACACCCAGTATGGACATACAGCCTGTTCCAAAAAAATCAAATTGCAGCCACGCACGCACGCTTTCAGCTGCTGGTGTGAGTTCACATAAACTATTCGAATCAGAAGTTCAATTAATTGGTTACCAAACGATTCAACTGTTTTGGAAATATTACACGCAGAGGAAAACACGTTGTTGACGATGTACTAATCATTCATTAATGCAGTTTACTGCCAATATACAGAAGATCTCCTTCCGCGTAATAATGAAGTGCACCGATTTCTGTATTTCTGTTTCACATTATGTACGAAATAACTGGAAAACTGGTAAGTGCAAAATATTTTATGTTCTTAAGCAGAAGTCGTGAATGCTAATAAACAACTGAGGCTCGATGCTAAAATAGTGTAATGATATAAAGTTATTTGTAAGCGATAAGGCCACAGTCAAAGTTCAACAGATGACATGAGCGCGGGAGTTCAACATGTAAACAATATCACAGTGCTGGCCGACCCATCACTACGATCGACTGGGGATCTTCTGTGTTGTGTCGCCTTCTGGCAGCAGACGACTGCCTGTAACTGCTGATTGCACTTGTGGATGATCTTGTTGAGACAAATCGATTTGTAAGTTGACTCTTACTCTTTTCGAAATCTAAGGGGAAATTAATTGGATACGGAGTTGATGTTTTTTCACAGCTGTTCGTCACAGCTGATCCATTGTTCAATTTGTTGTTTACGAAACTTTAATTTAAGTTTTAGTCTAAACCTTTACAGTTATTCGTTACATTGCGTTACACTCAAAAATGCTATAAATATTTGATGTGAGGTATTGATTTGGGTTAAATAAACGAAAGAGTTGGTCATGTTTAAAATAAATAACCTTTGGGTTCAATGTCAGCTGATGTACGTGCGCCAACACAACTACTAGAAAACAATACGATGAACACGTACGACAGGTCACTGTAGAGTTACAGACATTGGACACAAGAATCGAGTTGTTTCTACGCCTCCATGTTTATTTTTAAGACCACTACATCACAATCCTCTATTATGTGTTTGTTATCGCCCATGGTGTTATCAACAACATATTAAAGTTACATATTAAAGGGCGTGGTCGTCGCGTCCTATTCGGTATGGGACAGATAGCGACGTATACAACGCGTGTAAAATACATTGTTTACTTGAAATTGATTTTATTCCAACACGCGCTGCGCGACGACCACTATTGTTGTGTGATGATTAACATATATGCAAGTCGTTCATAAAAAATTTATGGAGAAAGAAGTTTTCAAGGAAACATATGCAAAATATCTAAAAAGCTACCATTTTGGAACACATTATTCTATGGATAACTTATACTATCATTTCAAAATTCTCCAATTTTTCAAGAAAGCCAAAATTATGTAGCCTAACATTCAATTTTTTACATAGGTCATTGAACAACATTTTATGATATGATATCTGCCATAGGAACCAATTTCAGAATTTTGAACATTACTGTTACAGTAACTCAACAGCTCTTGCTGGATTTCTGAGTATTATTTTAATGGTAGTGAACTACCTTAAGGTTGTTCACATGCATTCTACAACAGTTTTTTGTTTCAAAAGTTTTAATTAATTTATTAAATATGAACATTTTTCATCAATTTTCGTTTTATTACCCAGTATAAAATTCTATTTTTTGACTACCTTTGCAATCTTTCAACAACAACAAAATATTAAACATCACCATTTTTTAATAATTAATAATTCGTGACAATCAGAAGTATCAATATTAAAACCACAAATGAAGATTTCACTGTAGATAACTGAACACACCTAACTGACCTTTTCACCATAGCAACGACCAATTGGTTAAATAAATGGTCTCACTGTAACAGTATTTGTACCTGCATGTCTAACATGGCTGGGCTATTTCCACCAATCAGATTACAGTATGCTCATGCTAATATGAACATGTAGATTTGAGAAATTTAAGAATATGAGGGTCATTATTTGGAATGCATTGCCTGGAACTGTATTGTATTTTTCATTTTGCAGGGATTGTTCACAACAAGTATATGTCAGTTTCGCTATCAGAATCCATACTGATACTGCAAATAAAAGCAACATTAGTGAGACTGACAGTAAAATTAACATTTGATCAATAAAGTTGTTTGAGATCAGAAACACTGTGGCTGTTTTGATGTCACTTGGTTGTGCTTGCATGTAGCTAAGTCACTTGTCATTCTATAACCGCGACACACAAATTATAGTCAAAATTACGGTCATATTCTGAATGACACTTTCTATGTATTACAGGAGATGCCCAATTTAAAGATCATTGGTCGTCATGCAGTACATGTTCGAAACAAACATCATATTTTACACATGTTGTATACATCCCTAATGACTCCCACATTGAACAGGACGTGAAACGACAACCACACCCCTTTAGTATTAACAAAATGGATTGGCATTGATATATATATAAATAAATTATAATAATATATATTCTGGTACATACAGTCAAACCTGTGTTAGTCATCACTTTTGGACAGTCCCAATGCAGTTTACATGTAAAATGACATGTATATAAAGGCCAAATGTCCAATATTTACTACGTTCACGACATGGGATCTTGGCACGTGCCGGAATTTGTAATTCTTTTTGTTGCAGGGGGGTTACAGCAGTTGCATTCACATAAGTCATGACCCACTTTGGCTTGTGCCGAAATCACACCATCTGTTATTTGACCCAAACATGGAAAACGATATGTATATAATGATAATAATAATTGCTATATTGAAATTATATCTATTTGCTGTTTTGCTTTTTATTACGAGTCATCATGCATAACTGTATGTACGGCAAAGAAGATTTGAAAAACAACTATTTTTTCATGTTGACGTAGCATTGCAAGAAAATAGCGGTTGCAGCAGCACATAAATATGCGTCGCTGACAATGGTTTGCATTCATTTCATTCATTACTACAGCATCCGACCATATATAGCTGCACTTCCCTCCATTGTCATGTCATACTAGTATGAATCAGTATATGTTCTCTTTAATTCACCTTTTTAGGGGGTGTAACTTTGGTTTATGTCAATTGTTCAGGCAGAATATCCCAGCATGTGCCAAGTTTCAGTCCGAGCATCTATCGAGGCCAAGATCAAGTTTTTTTCAGCACATGCCGACCCGTTCACAAACACATTTAGGCACATGCCAACTTGGTCCCGAGTCATGTGCCAAGATCTCTAACGTGAAGGCCACTATTGTAAGCACCCTTTTGGCACCAATTTGGTCACCTAGGTATAAAAGCTTTACACTTGTAATATAATAATATCACTAATAATAATATGAGGTTATTACAAGAATAGTGAAAAGTATGCACGAAGACAGTACAGCAGGAGTATCAGCAGACGCGCAGTGGAGGTCGATGCAAGGTGTACTGTCTGAGAATACCGGGAAAAAGTATGCACGAAGACAGTACAGCAGGGGTATTGACCAACGTGCATACTTTTTCGTGTCCTTGTAATAACCTTATTATTCTACATCTTTCCCTCCCAAGGATACATCATGGGAATGCCGAAATACAAAAAGTTTAGAACAGATTGAGCAATACTTCTTTGTGTGCAGTCTAGTCAAACACTGGGGGCTGCCATGTTTGTTTTTATTAGAGGACGCTCACATGCGTAATCGTTCCATATTCGGAATTTGAATGAAAGTACCCCAGAAAATACCGCAAAATTACGGCACGCTGTAACTTATGGCGTTATGGTGACAGATGTATAATAATAATAATTTATTCACTTATTTGTGCTTTTTATAATATTTAAATATACATTTGTTGAAAAGCTCATATTCAGCAGTGAACAATACATATTATAAAGTCTATTCATTCTTATAATCATAGATTAAATGCCTTCCTCAACAAATAAGTTTTCAATGCAGTTTGAAATTGGCAATAATGGGGCTGTGTTTTTTAGGTGAATTATAAGAATGTGAATTTTAATTAATTTTTTATGTAATTATGTTTCCACACAAAATGTTTAGATATATTATTGCATTGTTTCTTTACTTTATAGTCTTGACTTTTAGATATTGCCAAACAATGACTACATCATTAGTTTATATCCATTTAATTGTTATTGAATTTATATTATCAATGGGGAAAGGTTGTAGTAGTATAGTACGTTTTTGTGTGTGTATTTGCTTGTCTTTGTGTTTTTACATTGTGTTTTTTGTTCTTCTTCATTTTCCTCTTGTTGTAATCATTTTCATCTCGGGGATGTGTGAGTGTTATTGAATAAATTAGAAAAGTAAAAATTAGGCAAAATATTAAATGTTTTTACTCAGCAATATTACATGACTTGTGATGTTATTTTTAGTTGCAAATTCCAATTATTATTAGATTGCTGTGATTTATTTTTAGTGTATGCATGAATAATATGAAATCAATTTGACAGAATTCACTGGTCTGCCTCTCAGTTGGCATTCCTATCCTGTACAACAAAGTTCTATTTTTTTAGCCCCGCTGTCGACTTTGTCGAGCAGAGCTTATCATATGAGTGATTGTCTGCCGTCGTCCGTCGTTGTCCGTGTCAATGTTTTACTTTTTAGACTTCTTCTTGAAAACTACAAGCCTGAATGCTTTAATACTTGGTGTATATGTACCTTGGGTAGACCTCTCTCAGATTTGTTCATTTCATGATGATATCTTCAATTCTCTAATTTTGGTGAATATTTTTGTCATTTTTGGTAAAAAGTGATATTTTCGACTTCTTGTTAAAAACCGTAAGTCTAATTGCTTTGATATTACATATATAGGTACTAAATGTGGATCTCTCTTAGATTTGTTCATTTTGTAATGATATCTTTAATTCTCTAATTTTGGTGAATATTTTTGTAATTTTTGGTAAAAAGTGATATTTTCGACTTCTTGTTAAAAACCGTAAGTCCAATTGCTTTGATATTACATATATAGGTACTACATGTGGACCTCTCTCAGATTTGTTCATTTTGTAATGATATCTTTAATTCTCTAATTTTGCTTTATATTTTTGTCATTTTTGGTAAAAAGTGATATTTTCGACTTCTCGTTAAAAACCGCAAGTCCAATTGCTTTGATACTATACATATTGTTCATTTTCTAATGATATCTTCTGTTCTTTTATTGAAATGTGCATTGCTAACAGCGGAGCTATCTCAGCCGACTGGCTGCTTGTTTAGCTCTGCTGTCGATT